TTGCATATATCAAAAGGGTTTTTTTGGTTTGTTTTTGCTTTTTGTTGTAGTACTGGGGGTTGAACTGAGGGCCTAGTACCATACTAGGCAAGTAGTCTTCTACTGAGCATTTCCTGTGAGCAGCCGACTTTTTTTTTGAGTTGCCAATGGATTTTTAACTTTGTTTATTCATATGTGGTGCTGAGGATAGAACCCAGGGCCTCACACATGCTAGGCAAGGGCTCTACCACTGAGCCACAACCCCAGTCCCAGCAGCTGACTTTTAATGGATCCCCCCTTTTTTTTAAGTTGTAGATGAACACATACCTTTATTTTGTCTATTTATGTGATGCCAGGGATCGAATCCAGTACCTCATACATGCTAGGCAAGCACTCTATCACTGAGCCACAACCCTAGCCCCCAGACCCCTTGAGCAGCTGACTTTTATTCTTGAGATAGGATCATGCTAAATTGCCCACACTGGCCTGGAACTTGTGATCCTCCTGCCTTAGCACCTGAGTAGCTGGAATGACAAGCACATACCAAAGCTAGGTGCTGTAGTATATATTTGAATTCCCAGCAACTTAGAAGACTGAGGCAGGAAGGTTGCAAATTCAAGGCCAGCCTGGGCAACTTAGTGAGGGACTATCTCCAAATAAAAAAATAAAAGGGGGCTGGAGATGCAGCTCAGTTGGTAGAGTGCTTGCCTCTCAGGCACAAGACCCTAGGTTCTAATCCCCAGCACCACCTAAGTAAATAAATAAATAAAAGGAATTGGGGACCTAGCTCAGTGGTAGAGTACCTCCGGGTTTATAATTCCCAGCCTCACAGAAAAGCAAAACCAAATATACCACTAAACCCAGCTGACTAACTTTTTATTGCTGAGTCATACTCCACATATGGATGTTCCACAGTCACTCAAGGGAAATTTGGTTTGTTTTCAGTTTGGGCTTATTACAAAGCTGGTGTGAAGGTTCATGTAGAAGTCCTCTCATTTCTCTTGGGCAGTCACTTAGGAGTAGTCACATATGGTTACATTGTAGGTGTAAAGCAAACTGCAAACTATTATCACTTTACATTTCCATCCCTGTGAGTTTCAGTGGCTCCAGGTCTTTCTCAATACTTGGTATGATCAGCATTGCTAATTGGGTGGGTGTAAAATGTGTGATGATATCCTACTCTAATTTTAATCTGCAATTCCCTAATGACTGATGATTTTGCCCATTGTCATGTTTTATTCACTTGTGATGCTGGGGATCCAATCCAGGGCCTTGAGTTACATGCCCAGTCTCTACATATATTCTTTGGTAAAGTTTCTGCACACACACACACACACACACACACACACACACACATAATATTGGAATTGAATCCAGGGCACTTTACCACTGAGCCACATACCCAGTCTTTTTATTTTTTGAGACAAGGTCTTGCGAAGTTGCTGAGGCTGGCCTCAAACTTGTGATCCTCCTGTGTCAGCTTCCTGAGCTGTTAAGATTACAGGTGTGCGCCACTGCGCCTAGCTAGCATTTCATTTTTTATCATTATTTTTTGCAGTACTGGGGATTGAACCCAGGGATCCTCTCCCACTGTGCTGCACCCCAGCCTGTGTATGTACTCATTAGGGCTTTCTACTTATGCTATTAAGATGCCTTGACTTCATTTTCCAGTGGGATGTGATCTCTTTCATGCTAACTGTTCTGGCTAGAGCTTTCAGCACCGTGAGGGCACAGAGAAGCATCTTTGTCTTGCCCCTGATCAAGGGGAAGCTTTCAACATTCCACCACCGAAGGTTTTCTTTTACCACTGAGCCACAATCCCAGCCCCAAACTCCAGGTTTTCAATGGGACCTTGTACGCTGATGCATTCCTGGGGCAAGCCCCACTTGGTCATGTGTAGAATGCTGTTTTGTTGGTCCCCTGGCCCCCAGGATTTCCTTTTGCAGGACTGGGTTTTGACTCCAGGTTCTTACATATACTAGGGATTCTACCACTGAGCCACGCCCCCAACCTTTTTGACAAGGTCTCATTGCAGAGACTGACCTTGAATTTGCAACCCTCCTGTTTCAGCCTCCACCACAGCTGGGATTACAGGTATGTGTCATCAAGCCCAGCCCTATAATGCTTTTAATATGCTAATGAATTTGGCTTGCTAGTATTTCTGTTGTGTGTATGTATACACACATATATGTACATAATTCACAAGATTTTTCTGTGCAGTGTCTTCATGTGTCTTTGTATCAGTACTGCTGACCTCAGAGTGAGTTAGGAAGTGTTCCCTCCACTTTTCTTTGCAGAGGGAGGTCAAGAGTTTAAGAAAGATCAGTTTGTTTGTTTGTTTTTTTTAAATGCTTTTGACAGATGTACCAGTGAGGGTATCCAAACCTAGTTTTCTTTGTTGGGAGGTTTTGACTGTTTCCATCTTGCTTATTATATATAGGTCTATGTAGATTTTCTATTTCTCCTTCAGTTAGTTTTGGTAAGTCATTTATAAGAATTTGTTAATTTCTTTAGGTCATCCAACTTGTTGGCCAAGTATCCACAGCAGTCTCCAATAATCCTTATTTCTGAAAAGTTGGTAGCAATGTCCTATATCTTGTTTTTTATTTTAGTAATCTGATTCTCTTAATCAGTCTAACTAGGGCTTGAGACTATAGCTTAGTGGTAATGTCTGCCTAGTATGTACTGAGGCTCAAGTTCAATCTCTAGCACTGCTAAAAACCAATAAAAAATTAAAATATAGCTTAACCCATAAGCAATTTAATAGTTTTTCAGTTTTCTAAAACAGAAAAATCAGCACTAACTTTCTCTATTGTTTTACTATTATCCATTTATCTCTAATCTTCATTAAGGCTGGTCTTGAATCATTGGAAATGATTCATTTCATCTATGCTTTATACATACAGCTTTTAAAAATTTTTGGTCATTTCTGATTTATGATGTTTGGACTAGAGTTGGCTCAACCTGTAATGTAATTCAGGGGGAAAAAAATCCTCCCATGTCTTAATAGAAGCAAAAGAGCCCATAAGACATTTATTTAGGGTTGGCAATGTAGCTCTGTAGTAGGCTGCTTGCCTAGCATGCCCAAGGCTCTGGGTTCTATTTCCTAGTATGCCCCCCCCCCCTCCAACATTTGCGTCCTACAAAAGATAAAATTCCTCAAAGGAACCATTTCTCCTGTTATTTAACAAGAGCCTGCAGCAAATTTTTCATTGTTTTGTTTTGTACTGGGGATTGAACCCAGGGGTGTCCTACCACTGAGCCCTTCTTATTCTTCATTTTGAGACAGGGTCTTGCTAAATTGCTGAGGCTGGCCTTCAACTTGTAATCCTCCTGCCCCTGCATCCTGAGTAGCTGGGGTTATAGGCCTGCGCCACCATGCCTGGTCCATATTTCTTGATGAAATGTTGAAAGACAAAAGTGTTCATCAACACCATGTGTGCTTCCTAAGTATTGGAGTTTTGTAAAAGTTCAGTAAGAAAAAGAATGGTCTAAGAGTTAAGGAGTAACATTTAATTGCACATGATATAGAAAAATTCAAGGGAAATCAAGTGGGTTATTGGAGTAAGACCTTAGCAAAGTGCTGGATACAGAATATACAGAGGTCATTTCTGTATTATAACATCAACAATATAGATGACACCATTTCAAAAATAAGTAAATTAGAGCTGAGTGGGGTGGCACATGCCTGTAATTCCGGCTATTCAAGAGGCTGAGGCAGGAGGATTGCAAAGTGGAGAGCAGCAAGGGCAACTCAGCCAAACCCTATCTCTATAAATAGAATAGAGAGAGCTTGGGATATAGCTCAGTGGTAGAGTACTGCTGGGTTTGATCCCCAGTACCAAACCCAAAAGAAAAAAAACATAGTAGAACCAGCCTTCCCTTATCTGCAGCTAGCCTTGGAGGCTTCCTCCTGTTCAGCTCCAGGTAACTCAGTTGTTTCTAGCTTGCGATTTATAGGTTCCTGCTTTTCCTTCAGGCCCCGCCCTCCTCCCTGGGCTTGTTTAGGGCATGTATCTCCTCCTTCAACTAGCTCCTAGCTTCAGGAACAGGGGTGAAGAGACAGACTCTTGGAAGCCACCAGCAAGTATCCAGTCCATGAGCACTCTCAGCTATGGAGGCCGCACTGTGCAATAGCAACAGATAATAGGCCCTGGGCCTGGAGAGCCTTTCCTGTTCTCTTTCTCTGCAGAACTTCTTGGATCTTGAGGGTGGCAGCTCAGCATCCCTCCTCAGGACAGGCTGCACTTCCTGCTACATGCTTCCTCTTGCCAGTTTCCATTGTTCACTGGCTTAGGGGACTGCCTCTTTTGGTAAACATGCCCAGAGGGAATCCATAGCTGGGTGTCCCACTATCTACACCACAGCCAAGTTCTGTCTGACTGCTGCATCAGAAAGTAAGCTTGATTCCCAGGCATTTGCATGTTAAGCCTTTCTGATCCCTGGGACTGGGCAGGCATGGAGAAGGGCAGAGGCAAAGGGAAGGGTCTGCCATTACCTCTCTGTCTCTTTTTTGATGTTGATGGATGCTTATTTTATCCATTTACTTATACATGGTGCTGAGAATTGAACCCAATGCCTCACACATGGTAAGCAAACACTCTACCACTGAGCTACAGCTACAGCCCCTGCCATTACGTCTTGTCTGATTTTCCATAAGCTAAGCCCATGCCCATTTAGCTTCTGTGGTGCTGTTGTCCAGCAGCAGTGACTGATGCATCCATATATTCTGGGGGTTCTCCCTCCCACCCAGAGGCTATGTGAGGCATTCCACCCCAAGGTTTCAGGGCAATCTGACTCCATCCAGTTGAGAGCAGTCCACCAGCATTTCTGGGTGGCCGGCCAGCCTTACCTCAGCATGGACTGCGGTTTTGCCTAAGAGTGGTCTCTGACATGGCAGCTTCTGGAGAGAGAGCTTTCCTACGCACAGGGACAAAACCTATTGAGCCTGAGGCAGACAAGAACAATATACCTTGGCAAAAGGTTGATCAAATTTGTAAGAGCAAATGAATGCATGGCCATTTTTGGTCCAAATTAATGGTTTTATTTACATCTTTAACACTAGCAGAGGAGTCCAAAACAGACTGATGTCCACTGATACAGTTTAAATGTAACAAAGAAAGAGCTGAACTATGTACAGTGAGGAAAGGTACTTTTCCCCACACCAGTCTTTTCCTAATTAGCAGTTTCTCATTAGTAGAAACTAAAGACACTTTTTTCGCAATTTAATTTAGGATGAAGTAATGCAACTTTTATAATTCATCACATAAGTTGTCTTGTAAGGATAAAATACAAAAAAAATCTTAAATGTGTGTCACCACACCTATGGGTTGACAGCTTCGCAGTCACCTTGGCCCTTGAAGTCTGATGTCATTACAACCTAACAAGAGCACTTCCATGAGGCCCAGAGGGGACTTCATGGCCATGATGTCCAGGAGGCAGGCATGCAGCACTATAATGAGCACAGAAGCTACATCCTCTTTCAACTCCATAAGGAAAATCATGACTCTTATTCAAATTAATTGGAAGTGAGCCAGGTGGCAGAGAAGTCAGTGAAGAATGAAACCTTTCTTTCACACAGAAGAGGGGGCACTCCTTCAGCCCTGTCTAAAGTGAACTCTGTGCAGAGTCCCTGCTCCTTCAGAAGAGTGCACTGAAGGTCAGTTATTGCTAGCAAAGCCAGAAAGGCCCCTTTCCCACCAGGAAGGTGTTTCACATGGAAAGGCTGTTGGTTTGGCTTGAAGCCCTCTGAAGGAGGTGTGACAGCAGAGGCTGGCCTGTACTGCACATGAGGCCTCTCCCCTGCTAGCCATCCCCAGTGTCTCAGGGGCAGTCTGGGTCACCTTGTTAACAAGGCTCCCATACACCTATGGAGCAGAGGTTGTCATCAGGCCCTTGCAGAGAAAGAGCCACCACCATGCTCTGCCAATAACCTTTAGAGCTGTCAAAAGCCCAAAGAATCACAGCCTAGCTGGCCAGAAGAACAGCTTCTGAAATGTTGCCTGTGGGGGAAGGTGAGAAGCCAAGTCAGGGCCAGGGCCAGGTCCAGTGGGCCAATGTCTTTGAAATAGGGGTGTCAGCGACGTGGGCAAAAGCATGGAAGTGAGCAGCTGATAAGGCCACAGTTACTGCCACCACCTCCTGGTATCTACACTGGGCAGACATAGGCAGTAGGAACTAAGGAACTGAGGACTGGAGAGCAGGTGCCAACACAGGACAGATTTTATCAGAAAAGAGAGGACACCCAAATACGTGCCTGCCCTATTGACCTCGAATGTCCTGTGCCAGGTGGAGAACTTTGGAGCACGGGTGAGGTTCCTGAGAACAGTTGGTAAGCAGAGACAGAATGGGATGGGCACTGCTCCACAGGCGACATTAGGGCTCTGAGGAGAACACTAACAGTGCTACATCTCCTGGTCTGCTATAAAGTAGTAAAGGACGGGCTTTATTGCACTTTCGTTCTTAGGAAACAGGATTGCCCTGCAGAGGTTCTTGATTCGCAGAAAACACTGCAGATAAAGACAAGGTGCAGGCAGAATCACCAGTCACCTCTGACCCTCAAGGTGGGGGTGGAGGGTGGGGGGAGAGGAGGGTCCAGTAGTTGGGCTTCCCAGGGGGCCACTGCTGCACCTAGAACCCTTGGGCAGAGTAGACTGTGTCTGGCTTGGTTACTGTGTGGTAGACAGACTGGTCAACTGACAGGTACCCAGGAAGGTTGTGTGCCTGGGAGAGATAGGGCAAGCTTTCCAAACAGGGAAACTTCTTGGCAAATGTAGGCCCAGAAAAGCTGGAACCACAATTTTCAACTCCAATGTCCTGACTCTTTCTCCTACTCTGGAATGAAACTACCCGAGAGGAGCAAAGATAAGGAGCCAGATGGGGAGGGCCCCTGGTCCAGCTCCAGAGCATCAGATGAGATTACAAAAGGATCTAAGGGCAAGGGGGTTAGAAACAAAAGAGAAGTTTACATATCAGATGTTGGTTTTGAAACAGTCTTTTTGAGCTCAGGAAATTGAAGGCAGATACCATGTGAAGAGCCCAGCCGGGCTGTCTGTCCATCCGTCTCTCCTGAATAGCTCTGAAACTTCATATATAAATGGGGTGGTACCGTTTGTGGTTGATCTTTTTCCTACAAGTTGGGCAAGTATTAGCATTCTTTAGGGAATCACGGAGGCACTGGCTACAGAAGACGTGGCCACACTCTGTAGAGACAATGAGACGTCCATTCTGCACAATCTGGAAGACATCAAGGAACAGCCTTTGAGTTTGCTCTTGTCCCAAAGAACCCCACCCCACCCAGAGCTGAGAAGATCAGTCAGAGGGAAGAAGGGTAGCATGCAGCAGAAAAAGCAATAGTAGTCTGCAGAGCCAGTCTCAGTCTGATGAGTAAGTGTGGCCTCTGGAAAAGATGGCAGGAGCCTAGGTTTCCCAGCCGCAGCAGCAATATGAGGAGGTTATGAGGGATTTCAGCACTGTTTGGTTACCCAGCCAGGATAAAGGACACAAAAACTGCCACTTTGCACCAAAGCCCAGGGCACACTGGGGGCTAAAGCTGAAGCATGCAGGGCCCAAGAGAAACAAGTACACCCTTTTTACATGCAGATCTGCAATAGGCCATGTGCCAGCCCAGGTGGGGCTGCAGGCAAGTGTTAAATCCCACCTAAGGAGCAGATCCTGCCTCACCTAGCTCTTTCAGTGACAGTTTAGACACTGAAGAGAGAAGAAATAACCTGGTTACTTACCTCTGAGTATCCGTCCATGCAGATGGGACAACTGACAGTACCAGAGGGCCTAAAATCACAGGGCTTTCCATCAGTTTTTCAGTAAATTCAAACATTTGATTACCTGCATGTAAGTTGCCTGTAACCCCTAAAAGGCCTTTCCTTCAGCTTCCACTAACTCTGCCTTAGCACAGGCAACCAAGAGACTTTCAGGAACGCCAACGGCCTAAGTGGGTATGGTGGCATGGCCATGAGAAGGAGAGAGGAGAGACTGAGCAAGAGAAGGTGCAGACAACCTCAGTTGCCCTGCTCTCCCCCACCCACAGCATTCCCACTGCTGGTGGCTGGCACAGCCCCGTCACTGCAAAAATAGTCGAGCCCAGCCCTGGATTCAGTTCCAATTGCACCTAGCCGCTGAGCAGCCATTTGAATGCGCCCTTCTGGAGCTAAGTGCTCACAGTGGCATAAAAAGACAGTAGTACTTCTAGCCCCTGGCCTCCACACAGCAGCAGCAGGGCACACGGGTACCTGAGTCCTGTGGCCCCCTCGTCCCTGGCGTTTCTGGGTGTGGGGGTGGTCACATACACATCTCTGTCCCTGGACAACTCCTCGTCATCACTGCTCACCACGCAGCTGTCGGCATGGTCTTGGCGTAGCCTCCTTGCGTTCCTTCTTGGCCTCCTCCTTTCTAAGGTGAGAGTCACATTTTTAGGGTAAATGTTTCCCACTGGCACTATCCTCACCACCCGACCCAGGGGCTTCAAAAGAACCTCCCCACTGGGACTCCCAGACAGAAAATGTTGCCCTGCCAGTTCCTTCCTAGAAGGCCCTGTGCAGCTCTACAGGCTGCTCTGAGGATATTCTGTCTTCCCAGGATAACGTGTTTGTCGCAGCTGCAGGCTGGTGCCGGAGCTGGGGGGATGTCTTAAGTTGTCAGCTTTCTCCAAGATCCAGTCAGCCCAAGGCAGGACTGCAGCTCAACAAGTCAGCATCGAGGGTGGTTTCTTCAGCAGGGTCAAAGCTCTTCTACTTGGAGATCTCGGGCCCAGAGGACAGCCCAGCAAGGCTGGCAGGCTGCAGTCCTCACCCATGCCAGTTCTCTCTCCAAACCCACAGCAAAAGGAGATGCAATCACTCACCGTCAACAATCTTTTAAAAAGAAGGAGAAAAACAAAAATAATCAGCTTGACTTGAGATGAAACGGACCCATTTTCTGTTTCTGAAGTGAGATCCCTGCAGAAACCTCTGCCAGGCCCAGCCCTCTCCACACAGGGGGAATGTGCACCATCCTAGTCAATCATGGTGTCTCTCCTCCCCTCCAGGCTACCGTTTTCCAACAGCTGAGGAGCTTGACCCTTGTCCTGCCAGATGCCTGGAAGCTGCAGCTTCCTCTTCCCATAATAGGTAGTGCCCAAACCTCATCCAGCCGTCATGCGGACTAAGAGGATGGAACTCAGTACACCATCAGGGACACAGTGCTCAGTAAAGGCATTCAGGACCAACCAAGCCAGTGCCAAATATAGTCTTCACCTGGAGAAGGGTTTGGAGTACTTAATGTCATTAAAAATAACTAAATAAACAGCCGGTGTGTTGCCTGTGTGTGGACCAATGAGTGACACACACCAATCCGACTGTAGTCTTGAGGCCTTCAAAAAAGTCAACGACAAACTCTGGCCTGAGGGCTCAACATGCACATGAACTGTCTGAGGCGGGCCAGAGTCCCTCAGGAGGCACCACTTCAGGAAAGCCTGGCTGCCCATGTCTCCAGCAGAGTGTCTAATCCTGCAGTGACTGGAGGGTCTGACACTGAACTGAATTCCTTCAGGAGGGTCTGGATGTAAACAAGGTTGTTAGATACTTCTATGCTACGGAAAGGGCACAATCTCCAGGGGGAGTTGCAATGCCTCAGTCCATGGCTCCTAAAAGGGGCTGTAGTGGGTCTCCTGGACCCAGGTAGGCATGTCTTGGCAGGTCAGGAGTTATTCCTGGACACCTAGCCAGCAATATGTTTTTCTGGCTTTTTGATACCACGTAAGCAACCATCCCTACACATTCCAATCCATTAAGCCTAATAATAACCAGTGGGGATTCAGGTATAAATAAATAATGGGATCCTGAAAGTCCTGTATGAAGAACTGGACTGTAGATAAAGCACAGGGTTCATGCAGGGCTCCTGCAAGTGCTCCCCTTTCTCCTGGGCCAGTGATAGGTCATGACTAGAGAGACAGGAACAGGTAACCTCATTACCAGTATCATTTTCACCAGAGAAGTGTGGGCTGGCACTATGTGGGCGAAGTCTGGGGAGGGGAGTACAGAAGAATATTGTGCTGTGGATAGGATGACCTTCGCTTTCTTTAGTACCTACACTGACACTGCCTTCATCTGCCTTTGCCAAGGTGGACCACTGACCAGGAGAGGGCACATTGTGAGGAGAATGACATCCTGATTCCCAGCTTTCAGGATGTAGGAGCTGGGTCTCCCTAGGCTCCCTTGAGTTAGAACCAGCTCACATGTGGGCTATGTTAAACTCAGGGCCAGACCAGACCCCTAGACGGTGTAGTCCCAGGGCGAAGAGTGTCCCCCTCCAACCATGGCTGAAATCAACAGCTAATTCCAAAGATGTTTCAAGAGCCATGGAATGTATCTACCTCCTGGCTGCAGACAACACAGTGCTTGCCTGGCATGGAAGATGGAGGCAAGTGATAGTATCGTGGCATCATAAATGTCTACTTGGGGCTGGGGATGTGGCTCAAGCGGTAGCGTGCTTGCCTGGCATGCGTGGGTGCTGGGTTCGATCCTCAGCACCACATAAAAATAAAATAAAGATGCTGTGTCCACTGAAAACTAAAAAAAAAAAAAAAAAGTCTACTCAAAGAGTGAACAGATGGGTAGAAGTACAAGACAGGCTCTGAAACCTAGGATCTGGATGAGGCCTATAAAGATCCACTTATTCTGAGAAAGGGCCTAGTTAAATCAGTTGCCCAGGCTGGCCTCAGACTTGCAACAATCCTCTTGCCTTAGCCTCCCAAGTAGTTGAGATGACAGATGTGTGCCTCCACAACTGGAAAATGCTGTACTTTATAGTCAACAGTTACACACATCATGCAATTACTGATGACTATGATTTGTGACTTCAACAGGAACACCAATAATACTGGTGTTGACAGTAACATTCTAGTGGAATAACTAAGCCATCTCAGCCTTTGTGTAGAATAGCTCCCCCTTTCCTTGAGAAACTTCTGGGCTCCTCTTTCTTGGCTCACCTCACCCCAACCTTAATGGGCATCTCCATGACCTTTATTACACCACATAGACACAGACAGGGCTCTTCCTGTCTGCAAGAAGACAGCTTTGTTTTTGTTTAAAAAACCTTGAGGCTGGGGATGTGGCTCAAGCGGTAGCACACTCGCCTGGCATGTGCAGGGTGCTGGGTTCGATCCTCAGCACCACATAAAAATAAAACAAAGATGTTGTGTCCACCAAAAACTAAAAAAAAAAACAACAAATATTAAAAAAAACAGAGAGGAGGGCTGGGGATATGGCTCAAGCGGTAGAGAGCTTGCCTGGTATGCGTGCGGCCCGGGTTCGATCCTCAGCACCACATACAAACAAAGTTGTTGTGTCTGCCGAATACTAAAAAAAAATAAATAAATAAAAACCTTGAGGGGCTGGTGTTGTGGCTCAGTGGTAGAGTGCTTGCCCAGCATGCCTGAGGCACTGTGTTTGATTCCTGGCACCAGATAAAAGTAAACAAATAAAAATGAAGATATTGTGTCCATCTACAACTAAAAAAAAGATATTTAAGACAAAACAAAGGGGCTGGGGATATAGCTAAGTTGGTAGAGTGATTGCCTCTCATGTACAAGGCCCTGGGTTCCCTAGTGCCGCGCCTCCAACCCTGCAAAAAAGCTACAAAAACAAATCTTCTGAAAAAAATATCTATCTATCTATCTATCTATCTATCTATCTATGCTGCTGAGGATTGACCCCAGTGCCACATGTGCTATGCGAGTGCTCTACCATTGAGCCACAACCCCAGGCTAAGAAGGCCTCTTTTGAGCAGATCCTTTCAATAGCATCTGGTAAATGAAAAAGTCAGGCAGGTTCAGACTACAACATAAACAGCATGACTCATCAAGCACACAGGAGCTGATCAGAAAAACAATTCCAAGAAAATCAATCTGATTTGAAAAGACACTACCTTTTGAAATGTAATGACATTTTCATAACTTCCCCCTCATAGACTCAGTTTTGTAAATAAAGAAGCTAGTCTCCCCTCGGTCGCCACCTTACTTCTTTAAGACAGAGCATACTGCAAACACTCAAAAGTGTCTGGAAATCTTAATTTACCTGTTGGCCCTGGGTTCAAAATCCCCAGCACCGGGGGAGGGGGGGGAGGGGAGTAAAAAGAAAAAATAAAAAGAAAGAAGAAAAAAAGATGGGGGAGGGAGGAGAAAGAAAAGCCAGGCGTGGTGGCACACACTTGTAATCCCAGTGACTCAAGGGGCTGAGGCCTTAGGCAACTGTCTAAAAGGACTGGGGATGTGGCTCAGTGGTAAAGCACTCCTGGGTTGAATCCTCAGTACCAGGGAAAAAGAAAAAGGTGAAAGGAAAGCAATAATTCAGAAGGGATAGCATATATAATTCTCAAAAAATTGAATTTTTTTTTTTAATTCTACTGGGGACCGAACCCAGGGGTGCTTAACCACTCAGCCACATCTCCAGCCTGTTTTATTGAGACAGGGGAGATAGGGTCTTGCTAACTTTGCTTAGGGTCTCACTAAGTTGCATGAGCTTTGAACTCATGATCATCCTACTTCAGCCTCCCCAGCTGCTAGGTTACAGGTGGGTGCCACCACCCACAGCTGAACTTGTTCTTGAAAGGCTCACAGAAGAAAACAAAGCCCAGAAGTAGCATGCATATGGAGACTTAAGACAAATCTTAATTAAATTGAAAAGAACCAACATAGAGAATGTGTTTCCTAAACATAATGCAGTAACAAAAAGAAAATTCCCATGTTAGAAAGAAATAAAAAATTTTGAGTTAGGTGCAGTGATGCACATCTGTAATTCCACCTATTTGGGAGGCTGAGGTAGGAGGTACAAGTTGGAGATCAGTTTGGACAACTCAGCCAAACTCTGTCAAAATAATAAAAAGGGCTGGTGGTATAGCTGAGAGGAGACACTTGCCCTGCAAGCTCCAGATCCTGCCTAAATACCCCAATACTGCCCTAAATAAATAAATAAATTCAATTGAATATAAATACCAGTACTAAAATTTGAAGATGTATCTAAAGAAAATCTATTACATCCAGTTACTGGAAAAGAAGAGATGAAACCAAGCTAATAGAAGAACAACAAAACTAAACTTAAAAAAGATAACCAATGAAATGAGAAAGAATCCACAAAGCTAAAAATTTGGTTCTTTGAAACATCTACTAAAGCTCTGGTGATACCAAACTAAAAAGACAAAATACAAATAAAATCTGAAATGAAAAACGAGCCAATATTACAGATGCCACAGAACATAAGACATTATGAAGGAAGTTATATCCAATAAAAGTTAAGATTCTAAGGCTGAGGTTATAGCTCAGTGGGAGACCCTGGATTCCATCCCCAGTGCCCCCCACAAAATAATATAAAATAAAAGGGCTGGGGTTGTATGTGAGTGGTAGAGTGTTTGCCTTGCATATGTGAGGCCCTGGGTTTGATCCTCAGCACCATGTAAAAATAAATAAATATACATAAAGCTATAAAATAAATAAAAGAAAAAAACAAAAAAGAATATTTTAGGATGGAATCAACAAAATTCCAAAAAGGGTAAAATTGATTCAAACTCTAGATTAGATACTTTTACTGTAGAATTCTATCAAACATCCAAGGAAGAAGGAATTCCAGTCTTTTGAAATCTTCTAGAACAGGAAAAAGGGATACTTCCCCCCAGTTCACTTATGAGACAGCAACATGGATACCAAAACCCTCTAGAGAATGTGTACAAAAGAAAATTGCAGACCAACCAATCTTATTCAGGAACATAGATCAGACATAAAATATCAGCAAACTGGATCTCCTCTTTTCTCTCTGTCACACACACACACATACACACAGTAAGTTTCATGCTAGAAATCAATGCAATTCTCCATCAACACATGAAGGGGGAAATAATTTTAACAGAAGATTATTAAAATTCTACACTTTCATGTTTGAATGAATCATGTTTGATTCATGTTGATTCATGTTTGATTCATGTTGAACACTTGTAACCAAATAGAAAACAGTAATTTCAATAGAATAAATGCTGTACACAAACAAAAATCCTCAATACTGCCCTAAATACAATTGAATATAAATACCAATACCACAAAGATTTATTTAAATGATGAAAGTTTGAAAGGATTTTCTCAGATTTGGAATGAGACAAGAATGTCCACAACCATCACTATTTCTATGTTTAGCCAATGTTGGACTTTTTTTAGCCAGTACATTAAGGCAAGAAAAAGAAAATGTTAAAGACTCAAAACTTGGGGCTGCTGGTGTAGCTTAGTAGAAGAGCACCTGCCTAGCGTATGTGAGGCACTGGGTTTTATCCTCAGCACCATATAAAAATAAATAAAATAATAAAGGTATTGTGTCCATCTACAACTAAATAAACATATGTGTATAAAAAATCTACACACACACATATATAAAGAATCAAAACTTGTGTTTAGATAAGCAGCCAAAAGATTTGCAAATTATTGAGTTATTAGACTAAAAAAAAGGAAAAATTAGCTGGACACAGTGACACACACCTATAATCCCAGTGGCTTGGGAGGCTGAGGCAGGAGAATTTTGAGTTCAAAGTCAGCCTCAACAATTCAGCAAGACACTGTCACTAAATAAAATATTAAAAGGGATGGGGAGGGGCTGGGGTTGAGGTTCAGTGGTAGAGCGTTCTCCTTGCACGCACAAGGCCCTGGGTTCAATCCTCAGCACCACAAAGAATAAATAGTTTAAAAAAATTGTTTTTAAAAAAGTACACTTAAAAAAGGGGGGGGATGGGATGTGGCTCAATGATTAAATCCCCTGGGTTCAAACCCCAGTACCCCTCCCACCAAAAAAAGCAACACAACAGATAAAATCAAATACATGTTTTTACATCAGTGTACAAATAAAATGAAAATTTAATATACGATTTTAACAGAACCCTAAAATATTATATATAAAGACCTTCACATTAAACCACACGCAAAAATCAATTCATGTAGATTAAAATCTAAATGTGAAAAGCAAAACTACCAACTTTTGGAATATAGAAACATCTTTTTTTGATATGGGGTAGAAGATTTACTCAACATATGGATAATTCTACTATTAATAGACTGTAATAAATAGACACAGAGAGAAAGAGGGGTAAGCCTCTGAGGGGAAGTTAGGAAATCCATGAATAATGGCAGGTTCATGTTAGAAAGACTATAAAAATGAGGAGGAAAAAAGATACACTCTTGAAAGGGGAGGGGGGGCAAAGGAGTTGATTGGTTTTGTTCTAGTTCAGTTTCTTCAGTTTTTCTTTTCTTTTGTGCTGCTGGGGATGGAACCCAGGGCCTTATGCAGACTAAGTAAGCACTCCCCCACTGAGCTAATTCCTAACCTGTGGGCTATTTTTAAAGTTTATATACAATAGGTATGTAAAAAAGCTATAAAACAAAGTTTCAAAAGGCAGTAATTATACAAATGAGAAAAACAATCTACAAACATGAAAAGGATTTCAATTCCAATTAAATCAGAAAAACACAACTAAAAAAAATATGGGAAACTACAATTGGCCAAAACATGGGCTATAAAAGTAGTGGTGAGATGGTGAACAATAGAATCTCAAACACAGGTGTAAGTGTAATCTGGTACTACCTCTGGAAAACAGTTTGACATCTAGCAAAAATCAGGTATTCATACCCTGGAACACAAGGACGATGGCATTTTTTTGTGTTATGCAATGCCAAAAATAAAGTTGAACTTTTAAAAAAATATTTATTTTTTAGTTTTTTTAGGTGGACAGAATGTCTTATTTCATTTTTTTTAGAGAGAGAATTTTTTAAAAATATTAATTTATTTTTTAGTTTTCGGCAGACACATCTTTGTTTGTATGTGGTGCTGAGGATCGAACCCGGGCCGCATGCCTGGCGAGCACCCTACCGCTTGAGCCACATCCCCAGTCCTCTTTATTTCATTTTTATGTGGTGCTGAGAATCGAACCCAGTGCCTCATGCATGCTAGGTGAGCGCGCTACCACTTGAGCCACGTCCCCAGCCCAAAGTTGAACTTTTTGAGAAACCATCAAAGCAGAGACATACAAAATGTGTCATTTTTCATTTCTCCTGACTATGGGGTCTCTGGATTCCTTCAAAAGCTGGAAAAACAGAGTTGGTTTGCAGTTTCTAGTATCAAGAGGACCATGGATGATTTTTGAAAGCTGCCCTTGGATCCTGGGGTTCAGGAATTCCTATCCTAGAGATACATAACTATTCCTAGGCTAAACCAGTTACATTTAACCTATTCCAATAGATTCTGTCGAATTTGCTAAGATCATCCCAATTTTGGAACACATAACACTTATCCATTTCACACTCCTGTAGGCAGAGTCAAAGGTTGCCCTGAACACATTCACCCAACAGATAGATGCCCATTGTCTGGAGTTCCTATAATTAGGTTTCCCTAGTAGCTGTGCTTAGTGTAGAATTTTTAACTTGGAGTTCTTCTATAATTTCAGCATACACTACAAATAAATTTGCAATTTGGATTTATTAAAAATCAACAAGTGAAGAATGATTAGGAACAGAAGGGCCAGCCAGGCATGGTGGTACATACTTGTAATACCAGCAAGCAGGAGGGTTACAACTTCCAGGGCAGCTGGGCAACTTAGTGAGGCTCTTTCTCAAAATAAAATAAAGAGTTGGGATGTAGGTCAGTGGTAGAGGCTCTTGGTTCAATTCCCAGAACCAGGAAAAAGAAAAGAAAAAGGAAAGGTAGGGTTGCAGAGCACAAAACAATTCTTTTACAGCTGGGACCAGGAGGTGGCATGAGAAAAACCTTTAGTTAAGAGGCCAGTAAGACAACACTGTCACCCTCTTCTCTACAGCCTGCCTCTGGTCATCCAGTCACTCCCAGAACAGCTCCCCTCACTCCACTATGAAGGATTCCAGAAGCTTAACTGGGAGTGGGGATGGCCAGAGTAAGGAGCCCCGGGTAGCAAGAGCAGTCATCAAGCAAAACAAAGGTACGGCAGAGGAAATGAAATAGAAACCAACCAGTATCTTCTTGGGGACAGAATCCTAGCTCTCTCCTCAGGCCTGGGGGAGAATAGACCAGGCACACTGCAAGTGAACTTTTGGGTATTCAAGGGAACAAAAATAAATAAATAAACAAAAATAAATTGAGGACATGGTTCAGCCTTCCAGTATTAGCAGCAAGGCACTATAGCTTCAGGCAACATGCCAAATTATTCTCCTCCCCAAGAATCATCATTGAGACTGAATATACCCACATACCTCAGAAACCCACAGGTGGGAGAGGGCCACTTGGAGCCACACCAGCTCCTGCTATCTCGGATAGATCTAGCACATCTCCACTTCGAGCCAAAGCTCCTGGGGTCTACCCATGACCTTGCAGGATGCAGGGGTTATAACAACAGGACAGCCCAGTGGTACCAAGACCAAACTCTACATCTATAAAGGCAGCTCCCTACTCTCAGCCTTTTCTTTTCTGAAATCTTGAAGCTTCTTAGTGTGACTCAATTATAAAGTTCCACAAGTCAGGAAGCAATGCCTTGTGATATACCTGTTGTGACGGTGTGGAATCAGCCACCCAGGATATTTCTCAAACCAGTGGACCCCAGGGCCAAGGGAAATCCGTTACTAGCACTCCACACCTAGATCACACAGCACTCATGGGCAGTACTTTCCACACACCTGCTCAATGTGCTGCTGCTTCCACAAATTGCAGTCTTGGCACACAGTATCAGAGGCCTTAGTGACATGCTGGAGAAAAGCAAATCTCCCCTTAGGATGCTGGACAGTGGGCTGACCAGACCCCCACGCAGGTGTGTACCAGGGACAAGTCTACCAGAACTAATTTCTAAAGTCCTCTGACCAAACCTGGCCTCTCTCTGTACATGTGGGATATACACATTCTCTGCCAGTCTGTAACTATGCTGTGGGAACAGGGCACAGCTGGCCTCACAGGCTCCACCCCCAGAGTCAGGACAGAGTCAAGGCTTCAGGTGGTCAGGCAGGACACTTACTTCCCCTGTGACCTTGTTAACTGGCAACTGCTTCTGAAACTTGAGATATTTCCCAGTGACAGTGCAGAGCTCACACTGACTAGGTACCACACTAGATTCCAGGAACTTGAATATGGGATTCTTTTAGTTTCACAATCCTCTACTGACATGGGCAAGAATATCCCCATTTTATGGATGAAGCAAATAAGGCCAAGCAACATATACAAGGTCACAAAGCTGGGGTAAACTGTGGAATGAGGGACTGAAGACATGTGGGACCTTGAGATTCTCCCCAAATGGCTTCTGTGTCCAGCTGTGGCAAGGTTAAGGGCCACACAACCCTACCAATTTTTTTTTTTTTCAGTGCCAGGGATCACAGGCGCTAGGCAGGTGCTCTACTACTGAGCTATAGTTTCTACCCACAGCCATGCTCCAGAGGAAACAAAGCCATAACAGATGATTTTCCTCAAGTAGTTTTCCTTCTGGGGCCCAGTCACTGAATGTAACCAAGGTCTTCAGGTGCCAGTGCAGGCCAAGAAATGGCCAATCTCACTCCCACACACTTACCACAATAGAGTCATTGTGAGTCAGGTCCACCACCACAGGCTCTAAAGATTCACAGGTGAGGTCCACGATTTCATCTCCAGCTTCAAAACAAAGCATTTCAACAGGTGTTAGGAGGAAAGAAAGGCTGTAAACGCCCCCCCAGCCCAATTAATATGGTAACGAACATGGCATTGGCTTATACTGATCTAAAATATTCCTTTCCTACACAAAGCGCCAATTCCTTTCTGTAATAACAGCCAAAAAATATACTTCTAGCATTTTGCCAAGTGGGGTGTCACCCGCCTGCCATGCCTAGTAAAGCTTCAGCAGTGAAGGAGATGCTTCTCTCCTCACTCCTCCCAAGCTGGGCGGAGAACAAGGTGCCATCTGTCAACCCCAACACGCCAAACTGGATTGGGCCAGTTATGCAGCTTGCCTTCTGACCCCTAGCACATATGGGGGATGTGTGTATGATGTACAGAACTAAGTAGGAAGGACACGAACCCAACAGCAGTTACTAGCAGTTATATTTAGCAGGTAGGAACAAGGGGCAGAGTACCCCCTCCATTTATACAAAAAAAAAAAAAAAAAAGAGAGAGAGAGAGACTTACAACCATTTGTTTCCAATTACCATCAGCAGTAAAGAGTGTGAGGTAAAGATTCTATTCCCTGGGGCTGGGGTTGTGGCTCAGCTGTAGAGCGCTCGCCTAGCATGTACAAGGCCCTGGGATCAATACTCAGCACCACATAAAAACATATTAAAAAAAAAAAAAAGATTTTATTCCCACCCCAGTATCGGCGATGAATCCAGGGGTGTTTTACCACTGAGATACACCTGCAGCCCTTTATGTTGAAATAGGATTTTGCTAAGTTGCCAAGGCTGGCCTTAAACTTGCCTCAGACTCCTAAATAGTTGGGATTCCAGGTGTGCACTGCTGGGCCTGGCATGAGATTAAGACTCCTGCCAGGCAAAGTGGTGCACACCTATAATCCCAGTGGCTTGAGAGGCTGAGGCAGGAGGATCACGAGTTCAAAGCCAGCCTCAACGACTTTGTGAAGCTCTAAGCAACTCAGTGAGACTCTGCCTCTCTACACATGAAAAAGGGCTAGGGATGTGCTTGTCTAGCGTATGTGAGGCACTGGGTTCAGTCCTTAGCACCACTTAAAAAAGTTTCACAAAAATAAAATATAATGTAGCACCATCACACATAGGTATGATGTGTTATAGATAGACAAAGTAATCTGTACAAAAGGATCTCATTCTTTTTCTTTTTAATTTTTTTTTAGTTATACATGGACACAACATCTTTATTTTGTTTATGTATTTTTATGTGGTGCTGAGGATCAAACCCAGAGCAAGCAAGCGCTCTATCGCTGAGCCACAACCCCAGCCCCTCTTTCTTTTCTTTTTTTTAGTGGAGATTGAACCCAGGGTCCTTTACCACTGAACTATACCTCCAGCCCTTTTTGTTTTTATTTTGAGACAGGGTCTGGCTAAGTTGCTGAGGCTGACTTTGAACTTGTGGTCCTCTGCCATCACTAACAGGATATTCTAACAACTAATTCTCATATAGTGCTCTCTGTCAGAGTCCCAAGTTCTATGGTACTGACTGATTCTGTGGGTGAAGTCTGTTTCAGGCACTAGCGTCATCCCTGAAGGCTGGCAGGAGCAGTGCTGGGTGCCGACCAGATGCATCCCGTGTGCTCCTGTACCACACCATGCCTTCTCTACCCCAGCACACCATGCTGTGGGATGCCTGGCAACTTACCAGTTTCCACGAGTTCTATGGGTTCTGCTTCCAAGGAAATCTCAGGGGTGGAAGCTGCCTCCCGAGTTCGCTTCTGGGCTTGTCTAGAATTTACAGTTCCACCACGACGCTTTCTCTGTGGGTATCAAGGGGGAAAAACAAATAGTCCCATGAGTGCTAGACAGACAAGAAGAACAGAAGACAACACAGGATGAGTCAATTTAGGAGTGTGTAGATGTGAGGTTGGAGTGGATTTTAAAACTTGGGATTTGAGAATACTGACTGCCTACAGAGAGGAGTCATCCAAAACATGAATAGAATTTTTTTTTCCTCTTTGTAGTGGATAGGTAAACACTCTACCACTGAGCTACATACACCCCCAATTCCTTGTTTTCTTAGCATAAAAAACTTGTTTCCAGAGTTTCACTTCTTTCTTTTTTCTTTTGGCAGTGCTGGCTATTGAACCTAGGGCCTGGCAAGTGCTAGGCAAGAAAGAGTTCTACACTTTAGTCGTATGCCCCCCTCCCTGCCCTTTCAGTTTGTATCCACTGTGGAAAGCTAGACTTTCTTTGGAAATATGACTTCTAACACAGGCACTCTGTTGCCTACCAACACACACATTTCCCACCTTCCTTCACTATATTGGGCTGTAGTTTCTGACCCAGCTGGCCTCAAAGGACAATCTGAGAAAATAACCTCCTACAGTCTTCTTCGGCTTCAGGGGACAGACCTCCTACAGAGACTGTCAATGTTTATCCTGCCCCACACCACTCTAACCAGTCTTTCCTCTACAGGCTCAAATCCCCTCTACCCTGTTGTGCTTCTCACTGCCACTGGGCCTGCTGTCCTTCATACTGAGCCATCTGGGGCACTTTTTCACTACTAAGTCTGAAGTTCCTCACCAGTCCTAGCTTTGCAGAGCTGCTGTGAGGACTAAATGACATGAGAACTGTATGATCTCAATCCTGTATGCCTTTCCAGAGGAATTCAACCTCAGAAAATTCAAGAAGGACCTTATATTAAAGCTGAGATATGCACAAGACCCAAGAATATCCATCACCCAACCCAACCATGACAGCAGAGATAAGCCTGATTCTATTTGTGTTTTAGCAGATGGTTTAACACCTTCCTTCAGATGTGTAGCCCAGGGCCATCCCCACCATCCCCAGGCAAGCCCAGAGCAGATCAAATTCCCACTAGTGGCTCTGTGTCTCAAGAAAGCTGCCTTTCCCACTGCAGTTGAACTCTAGCGCCCAGCAGGTCACATGAGCTGTCCTCAAAGTCTCCTTCTTCTGAAGTACCATGTGTTTCCCATCTCACCCACCCAGCTACCTGTACAAAAGCAGCCATGGACAACCTGGCTGCTCATGGCCCCATCCATGCCTTTAACCTTGGCTCTATCCCAGCGTGGTGTGCACTCCTCCCCTTCTTCACCTGACCAACTCCTTCAGTTTTCAAAAACCCATCCTCTACTTCCTCGTAGGCTGGCTGGCTGATTCTCTCTCCTCCACCTCAACTTAGAGCAGGGTTGAGTCAAGGGGTTTGTTATCTCAGGGCAAGCTCAGTACTCCTGGAGCATTTGTGGAGACACATACCCCTCTCTGACCTCCCATTAGTCCTGGTTAAGAATGTACCAGCTGAACTAGTAAAAGCTCAGAGCTTTTGGTGAAAATGAACCAAAATGAACCATCCAATCAACTATAGAAGTTACTCACACTGTAACTTAACCAATGTCTTCACAAGACCTCATAAAGGCCATATTGCTTTGCTTTGTCCTCCCTGTCTGGACAGAGATATGGCCTCAGAGGTAAGGCTTAGAATGTCTATTTCCTTATAGGTAGGCTAGGACAGCAGTCTACAGATAAAGGACCAAGGTGGGAAGTCACTCACCCTTTACAGGGGTAGGGGGGTGGACCTAGAGACTCAGGAAGGGTAGGCTGGGCTGGTTAGAAAGGCATGGAAGGCAAGGACCTAAAGGGCTAGATTACCCGAACAGACCTCATGTCACCCGTTCACTGAAGGAGCTGCCTGTTTAGCCTCACCCTACTCCTAACCACCCTTTAGCTTTACAATGCCATTTGCAGCACCTCTGGGGTCTGGAAAGAGATGATGAGGCTGTTTCACATCTGGTTTATCCCTAAGGAAGTCAGTGCATCTCAGAAAACAGTTCAGAATTTAGATAACACGAGCAACCTTGAGACAGCTTTGTCAGCAGGAAGTAAGCAAGGGGACTTTCACAGGCAAACTTCTATTGTGCTCAAGGGACTCCAGGTGACACCTGGGTTATGCTGAACCAGAGCTGCCTCGGAGGTTCGATGAAAGTCTAAACAGTAGTTACAATGACTGATCAACACAGGCCAGTGTACGTAAGAAAACTTCCACTTGATTATTACTGTCAGGTTCATGTTGAACACAAAGAAACAATGTAGAAGGAAAAATAGAAAACTGGGTTGCAAATAACCAAAACACCACAAAGGGCCTTAATATTTCTAGGACACACTGCCAAGAAGGTTTGATGTTTCAGCCAGGCATGGTGGGATAATCTGTCATCCCAACTACTCACTGGAAGGTGGAGACAGGAGGATTACACATTCAAGGCCAACCTGGGCAATGTGGTGAGACCCTGTCTCAAAATAAAATTCAAAAAGTTTTTAAAAAGGTATGATGTTTGGGCTTGGGTTGTGGCTCAGCAGTAGAGCATTTGTCTAGTATGTACCAGGCCATGGGTTCGATCCTCAGCACTACATAAAAATAAATACATAAAATAAAGATTAAAAAAAAAAGTATATTTGAATTTTAAGCCATTCCTCCTCAGCCTTCTGTTCTGGGGGCACCATCCCAACACCTGGAACTCAGCTGAAGATGGGCCCGTTGGTGCAGCTAAGGGAAGGACCCGGCACACACTCCATGAAGATCCAGGATCACCCAGAACACCTATACAGTTCTCTCTGCAATGTGCCACAAAGGATAAGGAAGTTGCTTAGTTTGAAAATAAAATCATGAGCTGATGAAACTTACTGTACTCATTATGATCCTTGGCTCCAACCTACAGAAAGGGAAGTGATCTCTACCCAGGTTTGCAGCAAAGTAGAATATTCAACCTCTCATGCCCGCTGGTTACTCATCTTCTGGCTTAAAAGAATTTGGAGCCAGGCAGATTTCAGTATCTTCGAGTCCTGTCCTGAAAAACAAAGATATCAACTTGATAAATGCTGCTACCTACACTGTTGATTACAAAGTTCAGTTTACTAATTCACCAGTCCTTCCTGTCACAAAGTGCTCTGAACACTTTATGCAATTTATATCACTAATCCCATATTCATTTTCAGAAGTAAGGATTCTTGCTGAAAATGGCATACCTGACCTCAAAGCTACAATCAGAACCATTATGCCATCTCTCTTTGTGTGTGTGTGTTGGGGACTGAACCCAGGGCCTCATGTGCTCTCATACTGAACTATACCCCCCAGCCCATCCTGCCCTTTTTGTCTGTGCAACCCTAACAAAAGCACTGTGTTAATTCCTGGGGGAAAAAATGAGTCAGGAATGACATACCTGACCTCAGCAATCAGGAGGGACAAAGCTTCCAAGGCCAAGAAAAGTCCTGAGCCTTGGGTTCTTTCTATAATTTCACTGTCTACCCTACAGATGAGCTGAGGAGACAAAAGGTCATCCATCTTGCTCCCAACACCCCTTAGGCTCCACAAGACTACTCAGAACATATGACAGTCCCAGATCCACCATAATTCCTAGGTTCTAATGCACACATTATTTATGTTTCTGGTCCCAGAATAGCTTACATCTATGACACAAGATTTCCTCCTCCCATTTGTCCACCTCAGTGATGTGTCTTCAAAATTAAAAAGAATCCAACACAAATGTCTTCCCAGAGAAGAAGGGAGAGATGCCTACTGAGCAATGGGGAATGACAGGATGCACATACCTTGGATGCTCCATAAGCCTCTTGCCTCTCACTGCATTGATATTTAGATTTTCAAATATTGCTGTTGAAGATGCATCTTGTGCCTGGCCTTGCCTGCATGCCCATCACCACTCTCAGAAGCCAGTCTCCGGAATCCTTACAGGCCCAGCTAGACCACTGGCTTCCCTGGGAGCTTCATAGCTCCACAATAATTCATTCCAAGTCAGTTTTTCTCTTTCAGGGATGGTGGGCATCAGAATCAGAGGGCAATGAAGCTGGAAGACTGGCCTTTGAAAGACCTACCCAAGTGCTGACTTTTACTAGGAAGTCAAATGGGGAGAGGGTATTCCCCGCAGAACAAGATAGAAGAAGATCATGGGGAAGATATCTCATCAACCAAAGGGTTCTGGACTACATAGGGGACAAAAGCCCTCAGGTAATAAAACAAGCAACACCTGAAAATTACAGATTACTTTTCCAAGCAAGGCACTATGCTAAGGACTGCCTCATCCTGAGCACTACACCGAGTAAAAAAGCAGGCTCAATAATGGTCACTCTCTTAAACAGAGGCAACTAAGTAAGGATGATCAAGAGGGAATTAAGGGGCTGGGTTTGTGTCTCAGTGATAGAGTGCTCGCCTAGTATGTGTGAGGCCCTGGGTTTGATCCTCAGCACCACATAAAAATAAATAAATAAAATAGAGGGGCTGGGGATGTGGCTCAAGCGGTAGAGCGCTCGCCTGGCATGCGTGCGGCCCGGGTTCGATCCTCAGCACCACATACAAAGATGTTGTGTCCGCCAAAACTAAAAATAAATAAATAAATAAATATTAAAATTCTCTCTCTCTTTAAAAGAAAATAAATAAATAAAATAGAGGTATCGTGTCCAACTACAACTAAAAAATAAAATATTTAAAAAGAGGGAAATAATTTGCCCAAAGTCCACACTAGTAAACACCAGAATCCACGCAATTAAATACTACCTTAGTGCCAAATTAGAGATGTCCTAGAAACAATCAGAAATATGGAAATTTATTATTATTTCTACTTATTTATTTAGCGCTGGGAACTGAATGCAGGGTGCTTTACCACTGAGCTACTCCCCCATTCTCAGCCCCTTGTGCATGGTAGACCAGCATTCTACCCTCAGCCCCTCCCAGCCCTTTTTATTTGTATTTTGAGACAGGGTCTTGCCAAACTGCCCAGGCTTGCCTTGAACTTGGGATCCTACTGCCTTAATCTCCCAAGTCTCTGGGATTACAGGTATATTCCACTTAGACTGGCTGGAACATGGGAATTTAGTATGTCTGAAAAGGAACTCTTGCTTCTTCCTTCCTCTATTATACCTGGTTCTCCACCAACTTTCCTTCATCTCAGCACAAGGGCCCACCATTCTTTAGTACAGAGGCAACTCTAAAGACACTCACTATGTCCTCATCTGATAGGGCTTTGTCCACTGTGTACCTACCTCCCCTATCTCATACAAGGAGGTTCTCATGTGCCACAGTCTGGCTGGGCACAAATGCCGCAGTCTGGCTGGGCACACAATCACGAGCCACCACACAGCTTGTAGATTCAAACAGCAACTCTTTATTCCCGAACTCACACCAGCCGTCTACAATCACGTTCTGGGGAAATCCACGTTCTCTGCCCAAATCCACGTTCTCTGCCCAAATCCACCTCCACTGGGCTTCTATCTCCAAAATATACTGTCTGAATCCCGTGAGAACTCAAGGGGAACTCAGGCAGCAGGATACGCCCTATTCCCAGCAGGAATAATCTTAAACCTTAAACCTGGAACCTAAACTGGGAACGCCCTAAACAAGATTATCTTAAAACCGGGAACACCCTAATCTGCCTTGGTCCTTGAGCAAGGTTAAGTACATTCAATGTCACTGCAACATGTCAGCAACATGGGGTACGCTGGCAAGGAAATTGTCATACCTACTTGGCTAATGGCTCCCAGCACTCATGTTTATTAAAGAGGTTGAAAATGGGTAACTGATAGTGCCCTTATCGCTAAGAAAAGATCTGGAGTAGAGCAGTAGCTATTCCTAACTGGGAATGATCAGGAAAGCTAAATGCCAGAATTCCTAAAGCTGTGAGGGTGGGAGAGAAACACTCAGGCCAGGGTATCTAGCTAGTTATTCTGCAACAGAGTGACACCATAGACCTAAATGAGAGAAGGCAGAAAAGAAAGAGTTGCTGAGGGTAGCTTTAATGTTAGCAATCCTGGATATGAGAAATTCTGGTGGAATGGTCCAAAGATGGACAGAAAAACTCAAATGGTAGAACTGGGGTCAGAGATTTCAGAACATGTGAATGTCTAGGGAGGGAGGGAGGTAGAGAAAGAAGAGCCTGAAAGAGAATTAAAAAGCCAGAAACAAAGGTAGGAGAACGTGGATATCCATTTAGACAAAACCCAGCATTTGTAGAGCTAGGGATGTAGCTCAGTGGTAGAGCACTTACCTGGCACTCAAAGGCCCTAGTTTTGACCCATCACTGCAGACTAAGCAACCAACAACCTACTCTGTATGAGTTTCGAGGAGGAAAAAAGCAATGAACACCTTGGAAGATGCACAGGGTGGGGGTGGTGTCTAAAAGAAAGCTAGTGAGCTTAGTACAGGATGTTGAACACTGGGTAGCAAGCCAGATGAAAGCAAGAGCAAAGAGGTCATGTTCCAAGACCAAATTGTACTAAAGATCAAACAGGAAGGCCAGAGGAGGCCATATGGCATTTGAGGCCTTCGGTGAGGAGCAAGTCAAGGAATTAAGTAGGTGGGTGGGATGATTAGAGGGAGGAAGGATGCCCCAGAAGGATGGAGTGCGGGAAAACTGAAGACAGCAAAGGCTGACAGTGTTCAAATCATAACAACCCTCATAAACCACACACCCTAAGGTCAGGGCATTTAAAGCTTTATGCTAGCAACAATGAATAAAGATCTTCATTTAGAGAGACTGTGTCACCTGTGTGCTGAGAGGGCAGATGGAAGATTGAACAAATCAGAATGTAGACCAGGAAGGAGACTCAGGAACCAGAGTAGAAGAAAGTGGCATGACTCAGAGGCAGTAGCAGAGTGCAGGAGAAAGAAATGGGACTACCAGATGGCAACCAGAGAGCTCTCGGGCTTTCTATGTTCTGACAGATTTTCATTTTTTTCAACACAGCAATCATGGTCACTTACAATGATGCCCTCCCCACACTCTAGGAGAAACGTGACATAACCATATGCATATTCATCACGTACATTTGTTGACTGTATAGCCATCATGTGCACAGCAGTGTGACCTGCATAAAGGCTAGAAACAGACTGTAAGGCAAGCAGAAAACAGGAAATGTTAGACTGGAACCAGATTCTACTAGTAAATCTCATACTACTATATTCCCAAGAGCAAAGAAAGGAAGTCAGAGACAGGGTCTGGGGTAGGGGCACAACAGAAACGGAATAAAGCACAATGAGATGTTCTCAACAAAAAGCTCTAGGTCTAGCCCAGTCCTGCAACAGGCACAGAGCCCTCAAACCATGCCAGAGCAGCAGCATCTGAATCATCTACTGAAAATCAGAACCATAACTCCCCTGTTCTGGCTCTATCCACACTAGCCAAGTGACTCCTTGTTCATTTCCCATGTGGGGGTTGAGGGGTGGGGGAAGGAGCCCAGGTACCAGGTCATTCCTTCTGTGCTGCAATCATAAAGCAGTCCCACTGTGAACTCATAAGGGGTTATCTGGATACAAGGCCTAAGTCTCCTTTGAGTTTGGATAAGCTGATCAGGGTAAGTTCTTTTTGATGGTGTTGTAAAAGCCTAGAGGTCAAATCCTACAGAACACCATTAAGGAAATCCTGACAAATCAGTGACCAACTGGGTATTGGCTGGTTCCAACTGCCTGGCTCATGTCTTCCTTTTATAAGCCACAAACTTCTGATCATTCCCATTTTAACTCTCTCTAGATGGATTTTTTTTTTTAGTTGCAGATGGACACAATATCTTTATTTTTTTTGTGTGGTGCTGAGGATCTAACCCAGTGCCCCACACGTGAGGGAGGCGCTTTACTGCTGAGCTATAGCCCCAGCCCTCTCCGTAGAATTTCAAAAGCAGAATTATAGAACATATGTTAAAGAGAAAGAATACTATAAAGACTGCATGGCTCGATTGCTTTTGTAAACAGCGTCAGAAATTCAGCTATCAGCAAAGTCCAGTCTCCTACGCACTAGATGTGAACATTAAAACTGCCAATAACTTTCAAAGCTTCTTAAATGGA